CTATCTATCTATCTATCTATCTATCTATCTATCTATCTATCTATCTAATCTATTCATTCATTTATTTATTACATATACAGTGCCTGCAACCCAGAAAAGGGCATCAGATCTCATTATAGATGGTTGTGAGCCACCATGTGGTTGCTGGGAATTGAACTCAGGACCTCAGAAAGCGCAGACAGTGCTCCTAACCTCTGAGCCATCTCTCCAGCCCCCTCTTGTTTTGTATTCTTATTTGAAAATAGACAGTAAAAATTAAGAAAAAAGAAAACAAAACCAAATAAAAATGAAAAAGAAAGGAAACATTAGGTTAAACTTTACCATGGCTGGCTATGGTTACTTAGTTTTCTTGACCCCATCAAACACAAAGCCTTGGACATGATAAGCAAGTGTCCCACTGATGAGCTATACCCTGATCTCTGACTCAAGTTTCCAACACCAACTACATTTATGAAATCTATATAAAGTGTTATAGTCAATAAAAAATGATGTTGGGCTATATATTATTTATTATTTTTTTGCCCTATCATTATTATAATAGTATTATCTAACCTGCTATCACACCTGTTAGATTTTATAAAATATTTCAATCTACGCTATTTCAACAACCTTACCATTTACCTCTTAGCCCCCATCCAATGCCATCCTCTTTAACCATCCTCATCTGAGCTCTCTTCCACCAATAGCCTTATAAATTCCTGCTTTTATTCTTTATCCGGGCCTTTAGATGCCATTACTGGAGTCCTTCCTCCAAGTCCACATGGTTTCTTCTCCACACTAACACACTGTGGCATCCTTCATCCTCCTCTCTTCTCATCTGTCTCTCCCATGATTCTCCTGTCCTCTAAAGCATGGGAACCTTAGCCACGCCTACCCTATCTGTCTTGCCCAGGTATAGGCTGTTTAATCAGCCAATCACAAATATTTACACAATGTGGATAGGTGTACCCAGGTGGTAACCAGCATCAATACATGAGCATCAGACCAACCCCAACAATAAACCATCATTCTAAACACATTTAATTAATAGACCACTGACTTCCATTGCTAAGCCTTCCTGTGTGTGTACTAGACACGAAGACTGGTTAGCAGGAAAACTCATGAGTGCACTTTTATGCCTGATCCAAACAGGGTCTAAGAATCTCTATTATAGAAGTGTTCTGGAAGAGTTTAACCAACAATGGGAGTCAAAACGAATCTATTCATCATTTTTGCACAACAATGTATTCAGAAAATAATAAAAAATATAGAACCCAAAACTATGTAAACCCAAAAGCATTATTTACATTCTAGAATAAAGGAAATATTATCAGAACAATTGCCTTTATGAAATGAATATGCTTAAATGCAAATTTGAATATACACTGCTTAACTAAATCTACGTCCCTAAAGTAAGTATCATCATTCCCAACAATACACAAAAGGTTACTAAAAGCTACTGGAAGTTGAGTGATGTATGACAAAGACTATGATAATTATATATGGTTCAAACGTCCTATCACTTGTCTTCTTCCCAGCTGGTGGTTCCTCACCTCTAATGAGACTTAGCTCTGATGAGAACTCAATCTTTTATGTAACCTGAGATGGGACAGTCTGAAATTTATTTGAGAGCCTTCTCTAGAAAATGCACAAAATCCCAAATCTTGTATGATTTTCCAGAAAATTCCTGAACAACAAAAGACAGCCTATAAACTTTCTTGCATTCTACAAGAAACCCTGATTAAGAATCTGTGTTGAATTGATAAATGGGATCCATGAAGCTGAAAAGCTTCTGTAAAGCAAAGGACATAGTCACCAAAACAAAACGACAGCCTACAGACTGGGTAAGGATCTTCACCAACCCTGTATCTGACAGAGGGCTGATATCCAGAATATATAAAGAACTAAAGAAGTTAAAAAGCAGTAAATCAAGCAATCCAATTAAAAAAATGGGGTACAGAGCTAAACAGAGAATTCTCAGTAGAGGAATACAGAATGGCAAAGAAATACTTAAAGAAATGCTCAATGTCCTTAGCCATCAGAGAAATGCAAATCAAAACATCCCTGAGATTTCACCTGACACCCATAAGAATGGCTAAGATTAAAAAAAAAAAAAACTCAAGTGACAACACATGCTGGAGAGGTTGTGGAGAAAGGGGAACCCTCCTCCTTTGCTGGTAGGAATGCAAACTTGTACAACCACTTTGTAAATCAATCTGGTGCTTTCTCAGACAATTAGGAATAGTGCTTCCTCAGCTATACCACTCCTAGGCATATAACCAAAAGAGGATCAAGTACACAATAAGGACATTTGCTTAACCATGTTTGTAGCAGCTTTATTCGTAACTGCCAGAACCTGGAAACAACCCAGATGTCCCTCAGTTGAGGAATGGATACAGAAATTGTGGTACTTTTACACAATGGAATATTACTCAGCAATTAAAAACAAGGAAATCATGAAATTTGCAGGCAAATGGTGGGACCTAGAAACGATCATCCTGAGTGAGGTATCCCAAAAGCAGAAAGACACACATGGTATATACTCACTTATATAGACCTATAAGATAGGATAAATATACTGAAATCTATACACCTGAAGAAGATAAACAAGAAAGAGGACCCAGGGTACGATGATCAATCCTCACTTAGAAAGACAAATGGGATGGACACTGGATGTAGGAGCAAACAAGTAACTGGACAGGAGCCTACCACAGAGGGCCTCTGAAAGACTCTACCTAGCAGTGTATTAAAGCAGATATTAAGACTCATAACCAAACCTCTGGCAGAATGCAGGGAATCAAAAAAAAAAAAGGGGGGGGGGAGGAGTTAATATGATGTGGAGAGGACAGGAGTTCCACAAGGACCAAATATATCTGGGCACAGGGGTCTTTTATGAGACTGTTTCTCCAAACAAGGACCATGTATGGATGCAACCTAGAGCCCCTGCTCAGATGTAGCCCTTGGTAGCTCAGTGTCCAAGTGGGTACCCTAATAAGGGGAATAGGGATTGTTTCTGACATGAACTTGATGGCGGGCTCTTTGACCCCCCACCCCCACCACCACCAGGGAGAAGCAGCCTTGCTAGGCCACAGAGGAAGACTTTGCAGCCAGTCCTGAAGACACCTGATAAACCAGTATCAGACGTAAGGGGAGGAGGTTCTCCCCTATCAGTGGACTTGGAAAGGGGCAGGGAGGAGATGACGGTGGGAGGGTGGGATTGGGAGGGAAAGAGGGAGTAGGATACAGCAGGGATACAAAGTTAACAAACTGTAACTAATATTAAAAAATAAAAATAAAAATAAAAAGAATCTGTGCTGAGGGGATGAAGAGATGACTCAGTTGTTAAGAGCACTTCCTGCTCTTCCAGAGAGCAACTGCCTGTAACCACAATTCTGGACATCCAATACCTCTGGCCACACACACACACACACACACACAGAGAGAGAGAGAGAGAGAGAGAGAGAGAGAGATGCACACTATGTGTAATTACAACTACTACAAATAAACTTAAACAGAAAAACAACCTGATCTGATTCTATCATCTCCCAGCTCTTTCAACTGAGGAGAACCAAATCAAGGCTCTTGTGTTTCTGAATGGAGGACTGACCATCCTCCAAGCCCAGTCCTCCAGAGAATTTACTTAGATTTGTAAAGAAAAGTCATCAAGAAGCAAGAATACAAAGAAAGTGAAAAGTTACTTCAAAATGTTGATTTGGTCCCTTTTTCTATCACCAAACATTTGAGATGCTTTCCTGGAAGCTTTAGAAACTGAATTACTAAGCCAAGGCTATTTCTGTTAAGGGCTAAATGTAAACTGAATTTGCCAAATAAAATCCTTATACCTGACCTCTCTCTTGCTCTGCCCTACTCTGGTCATGAATACAAGCTGCATCCTCCAATTCCTTGCAACTGATAATGCTTCTTTATCTACACTCCATAGACTACTATTATTACTCTTAATTCCTCATGATCCCAGACACAGACACACACACACACACACACACACACACAGAGTGTCCACTTGTCATTTGTCATCTATATTGCATTCACATCTGAGCCCTTGTCTGTAAAGATCTTTATATATATGCCCCAAACCACATATTTCCTCACAGCATTGCCACTTTACTGTGGCAATAATCAGTTTATTCCCATTCAATTACATTTTAAACTCATGTGGACCAAGATAATATCTGTATTTCCATTAATTTTCACAATAATACTTAGCAAAGTTCTAAGCACAAAATGAATCAATAAGCCTTAATGGACAAAAATTCTATCAAAGAGCTTATTGTAGTAGCACATGCTTATAGCTCTTGAGGGCAAAAGTAAAAAGAAGGTCAGATTTGGGGCCAGCTTAGGCTTCAGAGCAGGTTTCAGCCAATGAGTGAGATTCAGGCACTTTTTGTTTGTTTGTTTGTTTTATTGATAAAGCTATCAAAAGGCTGTAGGCCTAAAAGTAGAAAAAGTGATATAGTAATATTGTCATTCTAAAAACATTAAAAATTCGCTAAACAAAGTAAAAAGACAAAAATTAAGAATGAGAAAAACATTTTGAAGGAAAGGTATTTGGTCTTCATTACAGTACATTAGGAACACCCAAGTAAGGAAACAGGAGCCAGAGAATGACAACATATGTTTAGACATATCAGAAGTTTGTGGCAAATCTGTGACATGGTGCATCTGTATCGTCAACATGACGGTATTTGGCATCACCAAAGACAGTGGCTCTCAACTCCTTTGTGTAGTACATATCAGATATCCTACATGTCAGGTATTTACATGATTCATAACAGCAAAAAATTACAGTTATGAAGTAGCAATGAAATAATTTTATGGGTTAGGATCACAACAAAATGAGGAACTGCATTTAAGGGTCAAAGATT